ATTCCATCAATTCCTGGTGCCTTGTTCTTTGCCAATCCTTTCAATGCATTTTGGACGTTTAGGGTATTTACATTTATAGATAACTGATTGTTTGAAATTTCCCTTACAAAGCTTTGTTAAGTATGGTGGAGTCGGTTCCAACTCATAGTGACCCTGCACGGGGTTTCCGAGGCTGTAAATCTTTACAGGAGCAGAAAGCCTCATCTTTCTCCCACGGAACAGCTGGTAGTTAGGAACTGAGGGTTAGCAGCTCAATTTGTAATCACTGTGCTACCAGAGCTCCTTACAAAGCTTAGACACCAAAAATAAAATTGTTTTAGGATTAATCAATTAATTCCACCAAAGCAATAGATCAAAGCATTAAGAGGTCCCTGGCAATGCTCATTTTTTAACAATTGGGTGATTTTAACATTGCTACAGAGTCCTGGTGTAGCACTGTGGGTTAATGCGCTGGACTGCAAAGTCATTTAAATCTCAGTGTGAGTGGTTCAAGCTCACCAGTCACTCCTTGGAAACCCTATACAGGGTCACTATGGGTTGGCATTCAAAAACAACAACAACAAACAGGATAATGTGCTGAGTTGCAAGGTTGGTTTGAATTGCAAGGCCAATGGTTCAAACTCACCAGTTGCTACTTGGAAACCCTATACAGCATCGCTATGAATCGGAACTGACTCAACAGCACTTAACATTTATATGCCTCTCATAGTAAAAACAAATTCAATTCTTCCAATCTTAATACAATCAGAGCAATTTTGATGGTCCTATTTTATAGACAAGGAAACCGAGGTACAGAAACACTGAGTGATATTCCCCTAGTCATACAGCTAGTGATTTGAAACCAACACCTCTGAAACCACGTCTTTTAACTTTCCACATCAAATATAAAATGGAAAGGAAGAAAAAAATATCAACCTGGTCTTAAAAGGATTCTGAATTTCTTTTTGGCTTTAAGCATATAAGAACTATCAAAATTGTAAGATTTGTATTTAGCTACATAAAGAAATCTTTTAGCTCTATCCCTGCAGAAAAGTGTAGAGCAGATTAAATTCATTTTGCTATAATGATTTCTATTGTAATTCAGAAATGGATTAAATTGCTTTCTTCTCTACCAATTTCTTCATTTTGTCAGTTTTTATAGCCTCACCCTGCCAGACACACAAAAAAGTCCATGAAAAAGAGAAAAACTGACAAAAAAACATGACTCATATCTATGAGTAACTTTTTGTTGTTGTGTGCCGTTGAGTCAGTTCCGACCCATAGCAACCCTGTATAGGGTTTTCAAGGAACAGCTGGTGAGCTTGAACCACCGAGCACGCAGCTCAAACGGCTTTGCAGTCTGGCGCATTAACCCCACAGTGCCACACCAGGACTCCATGAGTAATTTATGTGTTAGCAAATCTGAGGAAAAGTTCTATGGGAGAATGAAAATTGACCACTGACTTCTTAAAAAATGTATACAGAAGATACTTAATTTAAGAGCTCACAGTGCAGGTAAGATGGCTTTACTTTAATTATGCCCCAACAACCAAAAAAGCAAAACCAAAATTGAAATTTCCCAAGTGAAAATTATTTAAATTCTATTACCCTTAAAATTGAAGCAAAGTAAAAATTTGCAGCATCATAAAAGAAAACTCAAATTCCTTTTGAAATTCCTGAGACTTGTTTACACCTGTAAAGATTAGGGTTGTTATTAGTAGGAATCAAGTCAATGACAAAGGACTTTTGGGTTATTATATTGTTAAAAAAGTTTATCATTTTATAATGTACACTGGTTTAGGGAGTAACAGAAGAAAGTATTAATTGTGAAAAATGAGATACAGTATGAATATTCCATTTCAACTATAAATTTAAAAAAAGAACTTCAGTTTACTATTGATTTTGGTTCAATAGTAACTGAAAAATGGAGAATTCGGTGACTTAAAGAAAGAATAATTAAGTTTTTTTTAAATGCAGTGAAAGTTGCTGGGGCACAGCCTGTTTACTTACATGTACAGCATCTGTATATGCATCATCCTTGTTTTCGATGGGCCTGAACAGTCCCTTTTTCTTCTCCCTGTCCCTTATGTCAGGACTGGCGGCACTAATGAGCATCTTCAGGTTAGCTGTGGGTGTCCATGGCTCTACCTGCTGTCGGTCAACAAGCTTAACAGGAGTAATGGCATTTCTTTCTGGAGTGAAGATTTTTTGCTTTGATAAATCAATTGGTTCATTTTTTATTGGAGTTCTCGGAGCCATTCGTAATCGATCAACATATATATTTTCCTATTTAAAGAAAAGAGGCCTTTTAGCATGAATGGGAAAGAGCAGATATCAGCTAAGAATACTTTGTTTCCACCATTCCCTAAGTCATGAAAAATCAAATAAGCCTGTTAGCTCAATGCTAAAAACTATTAGGCTAGGACTCCTGATGTAGTGTTGTAGGATCAACCACAAGGTTGGTTTGAACTACAATGTTAGTGGTTCAAACTCACCAGCCTGTCCTCGAAAACCCTATACAGTTCAGAACTGACTCTAAAACCCTATCCATAGGAACTAACTCGATGCCACGACTCAGAAACCCTATACATCAGAACCATCTCAGTGACACTTAACAATGGCATGCCTCATTTTGGTCAAGTTGTGCTCCTTACACCCACATTTGATACTATTTTTTCCATTACCCAATATAACAACTATGTATGATCTAGAGAGTGATTTCCCCCACCCCATTCCATGTAGCTGAAGGATCAGCACTGGACTACAAAACACAAGGCCGGTAGTTTAAAATCACAAGCTGCTCCTCGGAAATCCTACATGGGGTCGCTACAGCACTCAACAACAGCAACGAAATTAGAAGGATTTGTGGGAATTTAAGAGCGGCTTCAATGTAAAACTGAATATAATCTACCACCCCTTTTGTGTACGTTATCTAGTTTGAGCTATTGTAGTAAAAATTACCACGAATGGGGCTTTGAAGAGGAGATAATGATTTCCTCTTGAAATCGTTCTCTTGGCCATGTCGATTCATCTGTGGTCCTCTCGGTTTCTGGTGACTGCTGGCAATCTTTGGTATTCTTATTCTGCACCTGGGGTGCCTTCCCTTGTGTGTGTGTACCTACCTCTCTGCGTCCCCTTTATCAAATACCACTTAGAAGGTTATTACATTTAGGACCTTCTTCTCTGGTATTTGAATTACAGTGCTGGTGAAGAATATCGAAAGGTACCACAGAGAACAAATCTACCTTGGAAGACGTACAGAACAGCCAGAATCCTCCAAGAAGCGACTTTGGACATGCTGTAAGGAAGGACCACTCCCTGGAGAAGGACATCATGCTAGGTAAAGTGGAGGGTCAGCAAAACAGAGGAAGACACCCCCCCCCCCCCAATGAAATAGCGTGACACTGGCAGCAACAATGGGGTCAAATGGGGTCAAACAGACCAATCATGAGGATGGCACAAGCCTGGGCAATGTTTAATTCTGAGTGCACAGATCTCTGAGTCAAAACCAACTTGACGTGATGGCACCTAACAACAATACTCTGATATGGTCTCATTGACACAACAAAAGGAAATAAAAAATTCCAAATAAGGTCATATTTACAGGTACAAGGGTTAAGACTTCAACATAACTGTTTGAGGGCAAAATTCAATCCATTAACACCTTTTAAATATGTTGTTCACAGTATTTCTGAGACACATGATGAATGTATATACCACTGATTTGTACAGTCTGGAATGATAAAGACACCTGGGGGTGCAGTCCACATTGCTTCTAAGTGCCGTATTTTTAAAGAACTGTAAGTTTGAACTAACCCGAGAACAACTGTGCTTTTGTTTGTAGTTCAAAGCTCCCTGGTGCATTTGTTGTTGCTGTCCTTATGTGCTGCCAAGTCAATTCTGACTCACAGCAACCCTATATAGGGTTTCTAAGGAGTGGCTGATGAGTTTGAACCTGTGGTTAGCAGTTCAGTGCTGATCCCACAGCGCCACACTGGGACTCCTGCCACACCAGGGCTCCACCAGTGCATTTAATTAGCAATATATAGATTATTAAATGCACTGGTGTGGTGCTGTGGGAAAAACACTGGAATGCAAAGTTGATTTGAACCACAAGGTTTAAACCCACCAGCCACTCCTTGGACACCCTATACAGAGTCACTAGGAATCAAACCAATTCAATGGCACTTAAAAACAATGCTTGCAACTCAGCACTTGAGTTTCAACCAGGCTGATAATCTATATACCCTGTTTAATAAGATGAGACATGGATCATAGATTTGGATGTTACAGTGGCAATAACACATTTCCATGGATGTTCTAAGTGTATAACTCTCAATCTCTGTTCTCAAGTGTTTCGCAGCCTGGTGGTAGTTTATTGATAGAATTCTCACTTTTCATGTGGTGTGATAGCAAAGTTTGATTCCTGGCCAATGTACTTCTTGGGCAGCTACCACCTACCAGTCAGTGGAGGCCTGTGTGTTTCTATGAACAGGTTTCAGCTGAGTTTCCAGACTGAGGTTAAAAAGAAAAGTTTGCTTCTAAAAATCAGTCAATAAAAACCCTCTGATTACAACGATCCCATCCATGCGGATGGTACAGGAGTGGGCAGCATTTCGTTCCATTTTATATGGGGTCACTATGAGTCAGAGGTAGACTTGACATCGCTAAAAACAACACAATAGATTATGGACCAGCAAATACTTTGAATAGCAGTCTTATCGACTTATAAGAAGAAAAAAAAAAATAGAATAATGGAACCATTATGGAAAAGGACTAAGTATATAGAACCCATATTTGGAACTACCAAGTGATTAAAAACAAATTTCCCCTAAAATAAATTATACCATTAAAAGTCGAAAACATTCTGCTCTTTTTGTTGTTATGTGCTGTTGAGTCAGGCTGCTCAGTCCTGGACCACCTTCCCGACCAGTTATGCTTGGACCCATTCACTGTTGTGGTGGCTCTGTCAATCAATCCATCTCATTCAGGGGCTTCCCTTGTTCGCTGATCCTATATTTAGTCTTGGTGTGGCGCTGTAAGATAAGCACTGGACAGCCAGCCACAAGGTTGGCAGTTCAAACCCACTAGCCGCTCCTTGGAAACCCTATGCAGAGTCGTTATGAGTCGGAACCCACTCAAAGGTACTTGACAACAACAACCTACTTTAGTAAATCTGAAAACTTTTGGCAAGGGCTGATACCATGTACAAAGTATGTCAGACGAAATCTTGCCATCCTCTTTCTAAAGAATGTTCTATCTGTACTTCTTCCAAGACACATTGTTTATCCATGGTACAGTCAGTATTCTTCATCAACACCATCATTCAAAGGCATCGATTCTTCAGCCTTCCTTATTCTCTGGTCTGCTTTCACATATGTACAAAATGACTGAAAATATGGCTTGGCTCAGGTGTACCACAGTGACATCTTTGCTTTTAAGCAATTTAAAAAGTTTTTTGAAGCAGATTTGCCCAATACAACACATTCTGATGATTTCTTGACTACTTCCATAAGTGTTGGATCCAAAATAAAAAATAAATAAAAAACGACAACTTCAATGCTTTCTCCATTTATCATAATGTTTCTTATGGGTCAAGTTGTGAAGATTTTTGTTTTATATTGAGGTGTAATCCATACTGAAGGTAGTATGTAGTCTTTGATCCTCATCAATAAGTGCCTCATGTACTCTCTACATTTAGTAAGTAAGGTTGTGTTATCTGCATATCACAGGTTGTTAATGAGTCTTCCTCCAATCCTGATGCCACTTCCTTCTCCATATATTCCAATGTCTCCAATTACTTGCTCAGCATACAGACTGAGTAAGTATGGTCAATGGATTCGACCCTGACACACAGTCCCTGATTTTAAAACACACTGCATCTCCTGTTCTATACAAAGGTCTGCCTCTTGGACTATATACAGGTTCCACTTGAACATGATTAAGTGTTCTAGAATTCCCATTCCTTACAATGTTATCCATAATTTATTATGATGAACACATTTTAATACCTTTACACAGTCAATCAAACACAGGTATTCTTTCTGGTATTCTCTGCTTTCATCAAAGATCCAATTGACTTCAGCAATGAATCCAGTTTGAATTTCTGACAATCAATGTACTGCTGTATTTATTTGTTTTTAGCAAAATTTTACTTCCATGTGATATTAATGCTATTGATTTATCATTTCCAGATCCTATTAGATCACCTTTGGAAATACAACAGATGTGATTCTCTTCTCTTCCAGTTGATGGGCCTGGTAACTGTCTTCCAAATTTCTTGGCACAGATGAATGAGTGCTTTTAGCACTGCATGTTTGTTGAAACATTTCAATTTGTATTCTGTTGATTCTTAGACCCTTGCTGTTTGCCAAAACCTCAGTGCAGTCTGGACTTCTTCCTTCAGTATCATTGGTTCTTGGTTATATGCTCCCTCTAGAAATGGTTGAACATCAACCAATTATTTTTGGCACAGTAACTGTGTATTCCTTCCATCTTCTTTAGACACACTCTGTTTTACTCAGTATTTTGCCAATTTGTTGTGCTGTTAGACGCCATAGAGTCAGTTTTAGACTCAGCAATCCTATGTAGAGAAGAGTGAAACACTGCCTGGTCCTGCGCCATCCTCACACTTGTCATTATGTTTGAGCCCACTGCTGCCATCACTGTGTTGATCCATCTCGTTGGGGGTTGCCACTTTTTTGCTGACCCTTCACTTTACCAAGCATAATGTCCTTCTTCAGGGACTGGTTCCTCCAGATAATGTGTCTGAAGTATAAGAGATAAAGTTTCACCATTCTGGCTTCTAAGGAGCATCCTGGCTGTACTTCTTTCAACAGATTTGTTATTCTGGCAGCCCATAGTATTTTTAATATTCTTCTCCAGCACCATAATTCAAAAGCAACAATTCTTCAAGGTTTGCTTTATTCACTGGCTAACTTTCAAACATATATGAGATGAATGAAAATACCACTGGCTTGAGTCAGGCACACCTTAGTTTTCACATTGCTCTTTAACACTTAAAAGAGATCTTTTGCAGAAGATTTGCCTAATGCAGAAATCATTTGATTACTTGACTGCTGCTTCCATGTGCAATCTAAGCAAAATGAAGTCTTTGACGTCAATCTTTTCCTCATTTATCATGCTGTTATTTTTTGGTTGAGTTGTGATGATCTTTGTATTCTTTAAATTGAAGTGCAATCCATACTAAAGGCTGTAATCTTTGATTTTCATCAGTAAGTATTTTAAGTCATCTTTGCTTCCAGCAAGTAGGGTTGTATCACTTG